TCTAACAGTGGTAGAGCCACGCGGCAGCTTTTGCTGTCGCACGGATGGGCCGGCTCGAACCGGGGTGGTACCACGACCTCACAGAATACCAACGTGAAGTAGAGGTTTACCTCTGCGTTTCGCTTGGTGAGTGCAGGTGGCCGGAGGCCCTTTTTAGTGGAAAATAAGCATTCCATCTTAGTCCTCACGGGTGACAACGCATCTGCATTTTTATTCGCAAACGAGGATAGATGTAGATGCCTATGGGCCGCAGCAACCACTTACCATCAGGTGGACTGTGTGCTCGTTTGTCACCTTTATCCTATTAAAAAAAATGTTTTATACGTGGTAGAGCCACGCTACAGCTATAACATTATGGTCCTACCACACTCTCACAGAATTCCAGCGTAAAATAGTCCGCTTAACGCTTCTGTGTTTCGTATGGTGAGTGTAAACAACTAGCAACCCTTTTTACTCGAAACGAGGCATTCCATCTTTGCCCGCAGGGGTGGTAACGCATCTGCATTTTGATTTATAATCGCGAATCTATAAGCCACAGTTCCCACTTACCATCAGGTGGACTGTGTGCTCGTTAGTCAACTTTATTTTTTTTAAAATACCATGTGGCAAATACCCCCTCCCTTATGAGGGATGGAGAGAGCTATATTCAACAGTGCACTTTGACAGACCGCTATGACTGAATGAATTAATACATAGACGTATAAAAATATACCCACATACACACTCACATATATTTTATATAATAAAGTTAACAAACGAGCACTCAGTCCACCCGATGGTAGGTGGATGTTGTAGCCTATATATAGACTTTTACATCTTTCCTCAATGAGAGCATCCACGATTTTTTCTGCCACCAGGGCGGCGCCACTATAAAGTGAGGCATAATATTTGACAGATTTCATAGCGGGGAAGTTAATTTGTTTGAAAAATGTAAGGTTATTGTTTCTTTCTGTACTATTAGCTATATTTTATACTAATAAGATTAAAAATAACTAAATCAAAAAAAGTAGAAAAATTAAAAAAAAGATTTAACATTTTTAAATGTGCAAAGAGAAAACCACTGACGCATTGTCTTGTGTATTAATATAATACTCTAGAAACTGATAGTTTTATTAAAAAAACTACATCAATTAAATTACATTGTGTAACAAAAAACATTACATCAGTGTCAACTAGCTATATCTGGTGAGTGGAAAATTATTAGCCCTCATTAAGAATCACGTGTCACCCCTGACGACTATAATGGGATCCCTCCAGCCTTAAACTGCTATTTTACACTGGTATACTGTGAGATTGTGGTCCTCTGTGAGGCCTATGTCGAGTTCTTCCCCGGTAGACCCGAGCCATTCTTGCTACAATCAACAGCTGCAGAGTGGTTCTACCACGTATGATATATTATGTAAAATGTACTCATTTAAACATTGTATGATTTTCTTTTGTTACCCATGTAAATGCTCATAGCTGACGTGATGACTCAGTATTTAACATGATGTTTCCGATGTTTGCATTGTTTATTTTTCTTACAATGATCATTGTAATTGTTTTTAGTGAATGTAGATGAATACAAACAAAAAAGTCAGTCCTTCTGACAATGCCTATACTAAGCAACCAGCATTTTTAAGAGATTTGAAACCTGCCCCGTGAATCATATGATAAGAACATTTTTATTGTTCTATTTAGTAGTGTAATCCGGATAAAGGGGACATAAGAAGTTAAGCCATACATTCATCAATCTATTAGAGCCTATAAAAGTCTACCGCCGAACATAGGCCACCTCCATAGATGTCTCATTGGGGGGGATTTTGTCATAATTGCTACGATTGGCTGGAGGTTTGACAACCGCAGATTTTTTTATAATATTGAATTGTTATCAGGGAGATGCTGCTGTCTATATCGTGTTTCAGTTTCCCTTTGTCGCTTCTTGCGACAACCTCGATATGATATGGGGCTTTTTTTATAGAATAAGGGTGACAAACAAGCACACAGTCCACCTGATGGTAAGTGGACGCTGTGCTCCATAGACATGTACATTTATTCTGAAATAAGAATCTAAATTCAGATGCGTTGTCACCCCTGAGGACTTAGATGGAATGCCTCGTTTCCATTAAAACGGTCTCCGGTTCTCTACACTCACCATACGTAACACAAGTGTACTCTCTGTTCTCTCACTCTCATAGTACGATCGGACAGCAATCCGACACGACCGGAGAGAGATCAGGCGCACCATCGGCTTTGCTTTCTGAGGCGCGGGGATAAAACAGCGACAACCTCCTGACTCCGACTGCTATTGAGAATTTCTTGAGAGAAAAACCTAATAACTAATTTTGCCCGACCCCGCATTTCAACCCGGGAACTCATGATGAGCAATTGCGTAAATGATCACTAGACCAACGAGACAGTTAAAACAGAAACTTTTTTTAGATTATAAATAATACTTACTGAAAGTCTTATGTTTAATTTACCACTGGTTCGTAACATATCTATGTCGGGAAGATCCAGCAAGAAACCCAACTGGACTTTCTTTTTGAAAAAAACATAAGTTTACAACATAGATATAATAAAATCTCTTTTTTATATTTCTATGGTTTACAATCATATATGTTAGACAATTAACAACACAAAACAATTCAGAAATAGCTAGGATCACCTCATTCAGTTAGTAAGAAATGTAGCAATGTCTCCGGTTCAACCTAACGCCCACATTCCTTCCTTGTTGGCCGATTTGCGTTTAGAGCCAATATGGACTTGTGCGTGCTGCTCTGCCATATTCCAAGCCTACGTTAAATATTTGTTACTCATAAACAACGAACAAATGCGTGCGGAACTTTTTTTAGCCAAGTTTAAAAAAAAAACGCGTGCAATCACTCGCGGTAGAAGTGAAACCTTCAGAAATGGAGACCGAGATAAAAGGAAACATTGTATACTGTATTCTATCTCATTCTCTCGCAGGCGAAATCTTATAGATGTACATGTTTGTTTCTTTTTCGTGTCGCTTTTACGTTTTATCGAGTGTCAAATCCCAACCGTTCTATGAAGTTTTCTCTTCTCAAAGGAGTTCTTACGTCGACCGTATGTTCTTTTTTGTGTGTATTCTTTTTTCAATAAAACTACAGGGTTGGTCCAATAAAAATTAGGACAGTAAATTCTACCCTCAAGGTGAGAAAATAAGTGATAAAATTTCTAATGTAACTTATTATGTGACATTTATTTATTTCTCACTTAAACAATACGCATTGTGTCGTGAACATAGTCCAGCAAAAAGAACAGAATGTCACCCTCACTAGTGCTATTCCATGTAAGATGATTTGTTCCGTATGTATTTACCTATTACAAGTTTAAAGTTTAATAAATAATAATAATTATAATTATTATAACTTGAGCTTATGATATTCCTTAGTCCATTTAAAATAGTCTACAAATTAAACTACATCTATCCTCGAATAAGAATCAGAATACAGATGCGTTGTCACACCCAAGGATCAAGATGGAATACCTCGTCTCCAGTAAAAAGGGTCTCCGGTTCTCTATACTTACTATACGGAACAGTACCATTAAGCTGCTATTTACGCTGGTGTTCTGTGAGAGCGTGGTCCTACCATGGTCGAGGCGACCCATTCGTACTACAACCATAATATAGCTGCAGCGTGGCTTTACTAATAAATACTTTCGGGAACATTGCCATGAAGCCGTTTCTATATGTCAAATAATTTTTCCTTAAATCTTTTAGATTAATTGCTCAAACGTAAGCTGTTATTTATTTTAACTTGATGCGTCCAGCCGCAATTCATTTCATCATGACGCAGTGCGGAGCTCACTCGAGAACAGAAACGTGATGAATCAGTCATCATATTTCCCGTATCATGTTTTGAAAAAGAAATAAAATATGCAAATAGGCGGTACAAAACGGCGGTGATGAATTTTTTGACTAACGAGATAAACAGATTGTATCTAAGCTAACCCACCTTAGAGAGAGCCTACTCCTTTCTTAAAAGGCCGGCAACGCATCTGCAATTCCGCTGGTTCCCCTCGTGTTGCAGTTGTTCATGGACGGCGGTAGTCACTTACCATCAGGTGAGCCGCATGCGCATTTGCCCCCTCTCCTATTAAAAAACACTCAGGGCTGACAGTCCAGGACCAGGACTAGTCATTATGCTGGTTTATATAGCTAGTATGGACAGATACGAAAAATATTTAATGCTAATCATTAAGCGTTACAAGTTGATGATTTCACTTCAAAGAGTTGAGAAAACATTTTCAAATTTATTGCAATTTGGGCCGATTCCAATTCCGCTTCATTCAAAACAAGGAGTTCACCACTATGTTAGATATATAAATGGATAATTTTTTCTTGCACGCATCAAACACAAAATAAGGTTTAAAAAAACAATGTGTAGTACAATGAGTAGTCTTATCGCTAAAAGCGATTTCATCCTGTCAACATTTGTATACGTCAATGATTACCTACACTTTAAAATGTTACTTTTGTTGTTGAAGTTATAACGTCATAACTGCCGCAACTATTATACAATTTGCACAGCATTCGTTCCGCAAATCGATGGTATTAATAACGCATTAGTGACAACTTTCCCCTCATGATGGCCTGGAAATTCTTAATGAAAGCGATTAATGTAATTAGCTTTTAAGAAGGCTCATCGTTAACCTCATTATTTTACTAGTCAGTTGTTGTTAGTGTACTGTATGTCTATACTTAGGTTCTCGCAACTTAGGAGGAGCTATAGATCTATAGCTTAGTCTAACTCATTCTTACTGGATGGTAGGGCTCCTTGTCTCCTTGTGTAGTAGCCTGTGTAGTGACGAGCCACGTAAGCTTTCAACCGTCTTATAATGTTTGCTGCTATTTTACGCTGGTATCCTGTGTCGACCGATCGTGCCATTCGTGCTACAATCATAATATAGCAGCGTATCTCCACCACGTATAAATCACAAACCATGCAGGTGTCCATGGCCTTTTTATTTTTAACTGATTCTTCTCGGAGCAGGTGTGCGGTGCATCATCCAGCGCGATGTCGAAGAAGCCGGCGGCGCAGCCCACGCTGCACAAGGTGATCATGGTGGGGTCCGGTGGCGTCGGCAAGTCTGCGCTCACGCTTCAGTTCATGTACGACGAGTTCGTCGAGGACTACGAACCTACCAAGGCAGACAGTTACCGGAAGAAGGTGAGGAACACCGTCGGATACTTCGGAAATTATTTTCTTATCTTGAAGCTTTTATTTAAGTTGATTCTCTATTAAAATATTATTTAGATGCGTCTTGAATTGCTAAATCAAAATTTGTCTTTCACGAACACATAATTATTTGTATCTCATTCAAAAGATGAAGGATCCCTTAATGTTCCACCTTTCGGGATGGAACTTTTATTTTATATAAGATCACCCTTGATTTAAATCGGTCCAGCAGTTTCCGAGAAATCGTTATACATATATAAAAGAACATACAACAAAAATGTAATGTCGAATACAGAATCTTCTCGTTTTTTTAACTCGGTTAATAATAATATTGTATAGTGTTTTTCAATAGTTTTCCATTCATTCGCCCCTGTTTGATGTCATCTTCTTTTGTGCCACGTAAAAACAAATTTATCCCGAAGCAACACACACAAGAACGTAAAATCGAAGGTATTGCATTATCCAAGACCCGTGGACGATCGCAATATATATATAACGTAAAAACTTATTACAGAGTCTGTGTTATCGCCACAATAATAGCCAGATTACTAGCAATACGCGGCAATAACGCGTCACAGCTCATTCCGGTTCGAGTTGATTGAACGTCACTGACGTTAATGTAGAAACTCTGATAAACGACCCGATAGCGCTCACATTACGAGTTAAAGAAATACCGTTGTAATGTAATCTCAAATTATGATGATTTTTTTTATGGTATTAAGGTGGCAAACGAGCACACAGACCACCTGATGGTAAGTAAATTCTGTGGCCCATAGACATCTACATCTATCCTCAATTAAGAATCACAATGCAAAAGCGTTGTTATCACTGAGGTCTTAAGATGGAATGCCTCGTTTCCAGTAAAAAGGGTTCTTTGGTTTTTACACTCATAATACGAAACATAATAGCATTAAGCTGCTTTTTTACGCTGGTGCTGTGAAAGCGTGGTGCTGTCCCGGTCGAGTCGATCCGTTTGTGTTACGACCATAATATAGCTGCAGCATGGCTCTACCAAGTAAAGATTAGGGTTACCAGGTGCGTCGTTACTTAATGCCGGCGGCTTCGTTGACGCCCAATTTGAAAGAAAATGGGTCAAAAGACTGTATTATTGGTTTGATTTTGATAAATTCACATTGTTTTTTTTTATAAACCTGAAGTGATAAATGAACTTACAGTACATCTGATTAAATGAAATCGGGTTTTTTCAGGTTTCAAAAGTTATTTTCATACACAGAATACCCACGGTATTGCAGGAAAGTCGTATCGCTCTGGCAAAAATGCGGGTGATAGTAGATAACACAAAGTAGTCTTGCAATAGCAAATTCTACAGCGTTTCTTATTATTAAAACTAGCTGTTCCCCGCGACTTCGCCCGCGTGTAATTTAGGATTTTAATTATGTTGCGCGGAACCTTAATTCCTTTTCTAAAATATAAGTAGCCTAAGGTACTCCTTATAACTTCAGCTATCTGCCAGTGAAAGTCCCGTAGAAATCGGTCCAGCCGTTTCGGAGATTAGCCGGAACAAACAGACAGACACACAGACAGACAAAAATTTAAAAATTGTGTTTTTGTTATAAGGAACGTATATACTTTCATATGCATTTAATAAAAAGCTGTAATTTTGACAGTACAAACAGGCACTTCAATTTTATTTATTTGTATAGTTATGTAAAAAATACGTTGAGACATGAAGAGTACAAATTGACGCAATCGATAAGCAATGTCAGACAGGTATTTATTTTTACGACACTACAGACGATCAAGTATTAACCAATCTATTAATATTTCGACAAAAAGTGGTCAAGCCATAGTTATTTATGTGAAAATCTGAAACGATCTTGCATTTCTTTATGTGTATCTTCCATCTTAATCTAAAATAATGGCGAAACAGTTGTTGGGCGGGATAGCTTATATCTACATCATCATTACAGTCCTTTACAAGTCCATTGCTGAATATAGGCGTCCCCCAAGGAATGCCACAAAGCACGGTCCCTTGCCACCTGCATCAATCGACTTTTTTTTATAGGAGGGGGCAAACGAGCATGCGGCTCACCTGATGGTAGGTGACGACCGCCGCCCATGAACAACCGCAACACCAGGGGAATTGCAGATGCGTTGCCGGCCTTTTAAAAAGGAGTAGGCTCTTTTCTTGAAGGTCCCTAAGTCGTATCGGTCCGGAAAAATCGCTGATGGTAATCGATTCCACAAGGAAGTTGTGCGAGGAATAAAACATCTTCTAAATCGCACAGTGGTGGACTGCCAATTATCCAGCTGGTGTGGATGGTATCGGGAGTTCTGCCGCGATGTCTTCCTGCATATCTTACCAGGTCATCACTATATAGTGGCATTCTCGTATTGGTAAGCGACTTGTAAGGATAAAAAACTAGATGGTGACGACCTGTAAAACTAGATGGTGACGACCTGTATAGCAATATAGCGTTTTTAATTAGTAATTATTATTTCTTTCTAATCACTTCCATTTTGGTGATACTAGCAATTATACGAGGGTGGATTGAAAAGTACTCGGCCTAACACAGATCCATTCTTGCAGCAAGAGTCTCGCAAGTCTCGCAATGACCTATTAGCCTATTACTATTTATTAAACTACTTTAGATCTTAGAACAACTTAACAGAGTAGGTACATATTGAGCTTGAATTAACATAGCCATAGTAAAGACTAATCATATTAATAAATGTCTAAACATTTAATGAGAAATTCGAAAAATCAACTGACACCGGGTGGGGTTTGAACCCACGACCTAAGCGATCCGTGCCGATGCTCCAACCAACTGAGTGTCCCACGGCCACGGGCGTCAGTTTCTTAATAAACGTTTACATTTAATAAGCTTACATGTGCTAAAACATGGTTAAACATACAAATAAAAACAAATTAATGGCAATAACTACACTGTATTTTAAATAACATTATCCGTCTAGAAAGAGATTGATGGACCCTCCCCATGTATGAAATGGAATAAAAGAGTTATACAATATACAATTTATTTAAATAAAAAATAAAATACGATGCAAATTAAATTACTTCACAGTATGTACACAACAGCTTTGACATTACTGTTACTTTATATTTATTCTTATGACAAAGAATTAATACAAAGTAACCATCTGGCTGACTCATCACTTAACCTATTTCTATGTTTTCTAATTACTAATGATGCTTTAGAAAATAATCTCTCAGCAGGTACTGAAGTTGCAGGTATTAAAAGAAAATCACGGGCCATCTTCGATAAAATCGGATATTTTGTCTCATGCGTCCTCCAACAGTCTAAAATGTCTTCCGAGATGACGGCTCTGGGTTTACCTAGGTACCCCTCCAACTCCTTAATAACTAAGCCTTGAAGACAAGATCCAGATCCATTTTTACACATTTCAAGTGTTTTAAAAGTGCTATGGTGTCAACCATATTTATCAAATGTGTGACGACATATTCGAGCACTTTGTGTTTCAAAAACACACACTTGCAAAAGTCGAGATTTGCAGTGAACTTACTGAACATGTTTATCTTTTAGGTAATAATAATAACAATAATAGTAAGTAATTATTATAAATCCATATAATTAATTTTATAATAATTACTTACTAGAATAAATTATTATGATACCTACCTATTATCTAATTACAAGATTTCTTGCGAGATCAGGATAATGTATTCGTGTCCATTCTGAGCACCCGGAAACTTATTTTATTCTTTGAAACATGTACTCTGTGGCGGCAATCAAACAGTGTCAAATGTAGTGCGTGTGGCGCGGCGGCGACGATTATGCGATATCAATAGTAGCCGCCGGCACGTGTATCTTGACCTTGTACTTTCGAATAGCTGCACTATTTCTTTGACAGGTCAGTATCCGACCTTTGATGACGCCGACAACAAGACGCCGCGCACCATCAAAGTACCGATGGTCAAAACTAGGGATGCACTCTTTTTTCTTTTAATGGATATTTTCATTCGCTATGTATATTTATGGTAATGTTCGTAATGCGCATAAGTCCAATTTTCCAATTTTTTTTTTCATTATATTTTTTGCGTCTCATAGAGTCCCTAAGCGTATACCGGAACTCCTATACTCCCTGAAACGACACTTAGTCCTAACTGCAAGACGCAAGAGTCTCGCAAGCTAAGTCTTGTTCTTGCGCAAATCTTGCACGGTCAGTCTTGGTCTTGGTCTTGCTAAAAAGAGGCGGTCTTATTCTTGGTCTTGGTCTTGCAAAAATGCAAGAACAAGACCAAGACTGCAAGACCAAGACCGATTTTGGGCAACACTAGTAGATTTGATTTTTAGAATTGAATGGATCTGTGTTAGGCCAAGTACTTTTCAATCCACCCTCGTAATAAATTAAACGCGTTCATCTACGTATCCAGCCTTAAGCTGAAGTTAAAGGGATGGTCATAGCTGACCACCCTGCTCATAGCAACAACAAAAAAAAACTAAATAACGAAAGCCAGTTATATTTTATTAATTCTAAAAAAGGCGCAAGCTCTTTACCACTATTTTAGTTAGCAGAAAGTCGACTGCCGTCACTTCACCGTGGATAGAGTTGTCAATATTTACGATGACGTCAACAAAAGGGGCGCACACCCCTGGGTACATCATTTATATCAGTTTGACCTACGGTATATTAGACATTGACACGCGAAGTTACTCATCTGTTAAAGTTATCTATAATATAAAAATGAATCGCTGAATGTATTGCTAAGCGCAAATCTCGAGAGCACCTGAACCGATTTCGCTAATTCTTTTTTTATAATATTCCTTGAAGTACGAGGATGGTTCTTACGGAGAGAAAAATTTAAAAAATTGCCTGAAAAAGTCTAAAAACAACACTTTTCTATATTCCCATACAAAATATTCGTACTAATACTTTTAAGTCAATTTGAGCTATAATACCTTACCATAAAGTTTTTAGTGGAGGGGTTCCGGGAAGGCAAAACAATTGAGTGACCCGGTGTCCTGAACAGCATAATTATTAGTATTAAAAAAAATTAAAGAATCGACTGTTAGGCGGTACGAAGTTCGCCGGGTCAGCTAGTAAATGTAGCTAATAAAGCTGTTTATAATATTTTTTTAAACATTCAGTTTCTTTGTTCGGCAGGTGGTCCTGGATGGTGAGGAGGTCCAAATCGATATTCTGGATACAGCAGGACAGGAAGACTACGCGGCGATTAGGGACAACTATTTCCGATCCGGCGAAGGGTTTCTCTGCGTTTTCTCCATCACTGAACCCGAAAGCTTTGATGCCACGCAAGAATTCAGGTAAGTTATATTCTATCTATATCTATATATTCTATATCTGTTAAACTAAACTAGAATGCAGTCAATTTCAAGCACTGTACTCGAAACTAACTGGACCAATAACTTTGTCTACATCTGTCAACACGGAAAATCGCTAATTTGCAGTTTTCAGATTTTTTCCTTTGTATAAGCCTAGTAACCTAGAAGTGGCCAAGGTTTTCGATGAGTGAGTCAACGTGTGGTGAAAATGGCACTTCCAACTTTAATAACTCTAGAAGTTTATCTATCGAGCAGTCAATATTAATTGGACGGATTCTTACTGGGTTCTTATAAGGTATTCAATTATTATTAAAAATAATTAAAAAATAAAAATATTGTACAACCGACTTCAATATAAATTATTAATAATAACTCAAACTATTGATCACAGACCTTGATCAAATTTATATGGGACCACATGTGAAGTACCAGCTTTCAAATAAAAAAAAAAGAATCATCGAAATCGGTTCCCCAGAAAAAAGTTATAAGGTAACACACATGAAAAAAAAAAAAGAAAAACATACAATCAAATTAAGTACCTCCTCCAATTTGAAGTCTTGCTTTTAATTTCTGCAATTGTAAATCAACCGACCGAGCTTAACATTTATAGCAACTCCTTACTAGTATTGGAGAAGCCCCTTCTAGTAAAAGACTAAAGGAAATTGCTAAGGGTTTATTTAGGTCCTCTTGTGTCATGGGTAGAGATTTCAGTTATTTATATAGGGGGTGCTTTGTGTGTATCAGGGAGCAGATCCTGCGTGTGAAGAACGATGAGAGCATCCCGTTCCTGCTGGTGGGGAACAAGTCAGACCTGGGTGACAAGCGACGAGTGCCGCTCGACGCGTGTCGCGAACGAGCGCAAGCGTGGCAGGTGCCCTACGTGGAGACCTCCGCCAAGACTCGCGACAACGTGGATAAGGTGAGCGCAGCCATGGCAGCCGTTCCACGCGGAGACCTCCGCCAAGACTCACGACAACGTGGACAAGGTGAGCACAGCCATGGGAGACCTCCGCCAAGACTCACGGCAACGTGGACAAGGTGAGGGCAGGCATGGTAGCCGCTCCACGTGGAGACCTCCACCAAGACTCACGACAACGTGGACAAGGTGAGCGCAGCCATGGCAGACGCTCCACGTGGATACCTCCGCCAAAAGGCGCAACAACGAGGACAAGTTGAGCGCAACCCTGGCATCCGCTCCACGTGGACAAGGTGAGCGCAACCCTGGCATCCGCTCTACGTGGACAAGGTGAGCGCAGCCCTGGCAGTCGATCCACGTGGATATATCATCATCATCATTACAGCCCTTCACAAGTCCACTGCTGAACATAGGCCTCCCCCAAAGAATGCCACAAAGCACGGTCCTGAGCCACCTGCATCCATCGACTTCCTGCATGTCTTACCAGGTCGTCACTCCATCTCGTGGGGGGACGCCCTACACTTCGCCTACCGGTACGAGGCTGCCACTCGAGAACCTTTCTTCCCCATCGGTTGTCGGTTCTTCGAGCTATATGGCCGGCCCACTGCCACTTCAGCTTACTAATCCGTTGGGCTATGTCGGTCACTCTGGTTCTACTGCGGATATCCTCATTCCTAAGTTTATCACGCAGAGAAACTCCGAGCATAGCCCTCTCCATAGCTCGCTGAGCGACCTTGAGCTTCCTCATACGGCCAGCAGTGAAGGACCACGTCTCAGTTCCGTAAGTCATCACTGGCAACAGGCACTGGTTGTACAATTTCGTTTTAAGGTTTTGAGGTATGTCTGACGAGAAGATGTGTCGTAGCTTCCCGAACGCTGCCCAGCCGAGTTGAATCCGTCGATTGACCTCTCGGTAGAAGTTGGACTTACCTAGTCGGACTATTTGTCCCAGGTAAACATACTCGTCAACAACTTCGAGCTTAGTGCTCCCAACAACTACCGGCATAGGTGTGACATGGACATTAAACATGATCTTTGTTTTGTCCATGTTCATCTTAAGACCTATCCGTTGGGAAACACTATTGAGGTCATTGAGCATAGTGCTTAGGTCCTCCAGCGATTCTGCCATAAGGACTATATCGTCGGCAAATCGAAGGTGAGTGATGTACTCGCCATTGATGTTGATACCGTATCCTTTCCAGTCCAGAAGCTTGAAAACGTCTTCCAATGCAGCGGTGAAGAGTTTCGGGGATATGACGTCACCCTGTCTTACACCTCTCTGCAATTGGATAGATTTCGTACTCTGGTTCTGTACTCGGATAGCCATCGTAGCCCTACTGTACAAGCACTTCAACACTTCGATATACCGACAGTCAACTTGGCACCGCTGAAGGGACTGCAGCACCGCCCAAATTTCGACGGAATCAAAGGCTTTCTCATAGTCCACATACGCCAGACATAGTGGCAAATTGTACTCTTCGGACTTCTGTACAACTTGCCGAAGGGTATGTATGTGGTCTATGGTGCTAAAGCCCTTTCGGAAACCGGCTTGTTCGGGAGGCTGGAAGTCGTCAAGTCTGCGCGCGAGACGATTCGTAATGACTCTCGAAAACAGCACGTAGACGCGGCTCAGAAGGGAAATCGGTCTGTAGTTCTTCAAGAGAGCGTTGTCACCTTTCTTGAAGAACAAGACCACCGCACTTCTGCTCTACGCCTCCGGTGTAATGCCACCATGGAGGACGGAATTAAAGAGCTTCTGAAGGACTTCAAGTACCGGTCTTCCACCCGCTTTCAGAAGCTCCGCTGTAATTCCATCATCGCCTGGGGCCTCACCGTTTTTAAGGTGCTGGAGAGCCATCCTAATCTCGCTCAGACTGACATCCGGGATATCTTCGGAATAGTGTCGGATGAGACTCGCTCTTGGATCGTTACTCACACTTGCGTGTGGCTCCAACGATGATGTGTACAGCTGCCCATAGAACCTCTCAATCTCACTCAAAATCTCAGGTGTCCCGGAAACGATGCTGCCACATTCTGTCTTCAGCTTTGACAGTTGGCTCTTTCTGGCAGACAGATCTCTGGCAAAGACTTTGGAGCCTTGGTTCCGCTCGATCGCTTCTTCAATACGAGCTGTATTGAAGTTGCGTAAGTCCCGCCGCATGCATTTGGAGATCTGTCTGTTCAGATGCCTGTATGCTGTCAAGTCTGTTGAAGAATGTAACTTCATCTCCCGTCTAACAGCCATGAGATTAAGAGTGTGATCGGAGAGTTTTTGTGTTCTTCTGCGGCGGGTCTTGCAGAACTTAGCTCCAACCGCATGGACAGTTTCCACGAGCTTGTCATTCATATCGTCCACTTCATTGCAGTCTTCCAGGCACTGAAAACGGTTTTGTAACTCGAGCTGAAATGTTTCGGGACTTTGGAACAGAGCACGAGGGGGACGGAGCGTTAACTTCATTAGACGAGACCTCTCCAACTTAACGTTTAGGTTCAGTGTGCCTCTAACCATTCGGTGATCGCTACCAGTTTTCACCCTCGCGATCACGGAGACATCACTGAACAGTTGTCGTCTGGTCGTCATAATGAAGTCAATCTCATTTTTTGTGGAACCGTCGGGGCTCGAACAGGTCCACTTCCTGTGGGGCCGCTTCTGGAAGAAAGAGTTCATCATAAAGAGTCCCTCTTTCTCCATGAAGTCGGCCAGCTGCTGGCCCCTTGGGTTCCGTTGCCCTATTCCAAATTTCCCTACTTTCAGCTCACCGTTCTCTCTTGTGCCTAGTTTTGCATTGAAGTCTCCCATTAACACCGTATATTGGGTTTTGGAGGAATGCATGGCTCTAGAGATATCCTCATACATTTCCTCCACCTCCTCATCGGGGTGTGCCGAGGTTGGTGCGTAAACCTGTATGACCTTCAGCGAATACCGTTTGGTGATTCTGAGTATAAGGTACGCAATCCTCGTCGACACACTCCCGATCTTTACAACGTTGTTAACGAGAGACTTGTGGACGATAAATCCGACACCTCCTTGGGACAGATGGTCGCCCTCCCGGTGATAGAGCAAGTTGCCGGATTCGAGGATTACCGTGTCCTCCCCCTCTCTTCGGACTTCGGATAATCCTATTATATGCCAGCGCAACTTGTCTATCTCTTCTTCCAGCTCCACGATCTTCTCGTCAGTCCTCAGGGTGCGTGCGTTGTACGTTGCCAGGTCGAGTCGTCTAAGGTGGCAACCGAACCTCCACCGGAGATTCTTAGCACCCCCTGCCCCGCCGTTACCATGGTTACGTGGATATAACGTGAAGGTAATCTGCAAATTGACCGTGATCAATTAAATAAATAAATATCACCGACCTCGGCCAACTCATTACACATCGTCCAGTCTAGACCAGACCACCGCGGTCACTCGGCCCACTCCAGTCACCTCGGTAACTCTGGTCGCTCAGCTCACTCCGGTCACCCCGGTAACTCTGGTCACTCAGCCCACTTGTTATGACGGCTGCCCTGGTCACTAATACCACTTTAGTCACACCGGTCAAGGCACTCACGTCTGCCTTTACACAACAATTTGGCTCCTACACCGCTGCACCAGCTGCTTACCACCGGATGATATCTTCTGGTAAGATAAATGATCACTTACTATTAACTGTTGCTTCAGGTTATCTTGTTATTGTGTTCGAGATGATATTACGAGGGTGACACTGAAAGTTCTTAGAAAATCAAAAACTGAACAAACTAGCAAGTTATTAGTTTTATTATATCTTTTCAAAATAGTGTCCATTTACATCAATACATTGCTGCATCCGATGGAACCATTGAAAAAAGCACTTTGCCCACTCGCCCTTAGGAGTCTCTTCGACGGCATTTTGAAACGCAGCCACTGCTTCCTCGGCGTCCATAAAACGTTTTGCTCGAAGTTTTATTTTTATTTTCGGAAATAAATAAAAATCGCTAGGTCGTCGAGCCTATAGAGTGGGTGACCCAGTAATTCCACGTCTGACGTCGCCAAGTAGACGATTGTTTGCTTGGCGCTGTCGTGGTGAAGGAGGATCCTACTGCGAGGTCGTTTCTCCCGAACTTTTTCCAAGACAAGTAGCAAAGAATTGTTAGTGTATCACTCTGCAGTAACTGTTTTACGATCCTCTAAAACAATTATTGCGTAATGACCTATCCTTCCGAAGAATGAAGCTATCATCTTTTCGATGCTCACGCTTCCCTCACGCTTCGACCTCTCTTCACTTTAGTTGACAACTCATCGGAAGGAAACATCCAGACAGCAGACTGTCTGACTGACTCTTAGTTTCAGGATCATAACAATAAATCCAACTTTCGTCACCCGTAACTATGTCGAACACAGCCTTTGAGTCACCTCCGTTAAATCTTTGAACCATTTCACGATACCAATCAACACGACGGAGTTTTTGGGCCTCTGTCAAATTATGGGGTATCCGCCGGGCACAAGGCTTCCTGATCGCTAAATGTTCATGGAGAATTTTGTGCACTTGACTCATACCGATGCCTAAGCTTATTCGAATCTACTGATAAGTCACTCTTTTGTCGGTCTCTATATTATAAGCCGCACAACACTGATGTTATCTTCAGTCGTCGTCGTAGAAGGCCGTCCCTCACGCAGATCATCGGTTATATTAGTGCGACCACGTTTAAACTCATTAAACCAGTTGTAAACAGTGGCACGAGATGGGGCTTCATCGTGAAAGGCCAATCGAAGTCTATCATAACATTCTTGTTGACTTAAATGACATCGAAAGTCATAAAAAATCATTGTACGAAAATTTTCTCGCGTTAAATTCATGCTGACGTGACACAGACAATTTTCAATTTGCCGCCAAATCGTAAACAAATGACAAATTAATAAAATAAACACACAATAATATTGGCAAAAAGTCCATTTTCAAAATTTGAACTTATTTTTTTATTATATCCTTTACAAGTGGCCAGTTCTAAAAACTTTCAGTGTAGCCTTCGTATGGAATAATTTCTTTATTTTGGATTAAGGTTTATGTTATTTTCTATACAATAGCGATAAACAAGCACACAGTCTACTTTATGTGTGTGTGAGTGTCACCTACATTTCATCTGACCAAATGGTGATTTAAATTTAAATTATTTACATCCTCGAATAATAATAAAAAAGTTAAATAGCTTTTTTTTTATATAGAATAAGGGTGACAAACACGGTCCATCCGATGGTGGACCGAAGTGGATGCTGTGGCCTAGAGACATCTACATCTATCCTCGATTAAGGATCGAAATGCAGATACGTTGTAACCCAACTAAGGTGGAACGTCTCGTATCCAGTAAAAAGGTTCACCGGTTCTCTGCACTTACCATACGAAATAGCAGCATTAAGCTGCTATTTCACGCTGGTATTCTGTCAGAGCGTGGTCCTTCCCCGGTTGAGCCGACCCATTCGTGCTACAGCTATAATATAGCTGCAGCGAGGCTCTACCACGTAATACAAATGGTTAATATAATAACATAACTAGTTTAAAAATTTTTGAAAGATTAATCAAAATAGTATACTTACAATAAGATAAGTCAAAACACGAAACAACTTACCAAAAGTAATGTGCTCCTTCGCTTCACTGAGCTTGCGCTTCCTGCACCGCTTTGGTGTGTATGGCGATTGTAGAAGTAGCCGTTTTTTTTTTACAATTGTTCTATTTTACCACGATTTTATTAACTCGCTTTCGTGTGACTGTTCGGGTCGAAATTAGTATTTGATTTTAAACTAACTTCCCGATGAGCTAGAGACTTGAAATTTTGGACTAAGCTCAGAATCGGATAGTAATGTAATAGGAAAATGACGTGGTGTATTATTTTTTCAAATTAATAATTATTCTTAGGTAGGGTCAGGCGCGCACTGCGTTTTAACTTAATTATTACTAATATAAACAAGCATATTATCTATCCCATGGTAGTTTGGCGGAGAATGCCATTAGGCCTTAGTAACCCTTAATAAAGATTATATAAATAATAGCTAGTTTGATCGTGTACTAGTGGTGTAAGAATCCCTTGGGCGTCGTAAGAGGCGACAGAAGGAAATAAATCAGGAGATAGCACACCACGAAGCAAATACAAAGAGGAGTTGACATAAGCAACTGTGCACTGTGATTCTAACTAGGTCCTGACGTCATCATAGTGGGCGTGGCTTTACTTAGTATACTGCCAGCGTTCGTCCTGTGCGCTTAAGTTTCGAAAATTGCAAATCGGTGTATTTTCGTAGTATTAAGAAGAAAAGGACGAAGTGTTGTGTTTCATTGTATAAAAACTACTCAAATAGACGCCGTGATGGTCTGGACGGCATCATATTTCATTTGTAAGAAATTTTATACCTAATTTATTAAAAAGGTTCTAGAAAAGTCTCTGCGTCGGCTTTCAAATGTAATTAAATATATTCGACACTAGATGGTGACACTTTGTCATGGGAACTAAAAATATAAAATTACTTAGTGCTCAGTATTTGGTAAAATAATCATACGAAGGTGTTGAAATTTGTTTTGCATTCAGTCCTAAAGAATTTTTAATCGCCAAAATATTATTTTTATAGTTTTTATTAACATTTTGTGAACAGGCTGCCATCTATCGTCAAGGTAGCTAAACTACATTGCAACATCGATATGGAACAATTCGAGTAGTTTTACTATTTATCGGTAGATGTAGATAGTAAAGTGGGCGGGGCTTAACATCCCCCACCCCGCAAATTGTCACGCGTTGTTACATAGTGAAATCTAATTACAACACCTCTTTGTATTTGTTCTGTGGGCAGCACCGTCTTCCTAATAAAAGCTAAAGAATAAAAAAAACTGCGGTTGTCAATCCGCCCGCCTAGTGTTTCAACTATAGCAAATATCCCTCCCATGAGGCAATCTATGGGGGCGGCCTATGTTCAGCAGTGGACCTTAATAGAATGTAAGGGATGGATAATGGAAATAACAGCTAGCAAGAAGAGTGGAAACTTTTAAAGTAAAAAGTAAAGTGATTTTATTATTATCGCTAGAACGGCACAAGTGTAAAAGGATTCCATGTTATATTGTTCCTCTTCTCACTATAGTAAGAAAGTAATCGCCCCGCTTGACAGATAGTATAGCGAGTGTAGTGTAAGCCCTCGTCCACAGTGCGAGCCTAGCGCGGTTGCGACGACGAGCGCGAATAATCAAACATATGAAACTGCCGTTTGCGTCCATAGTGTAGTGACTAAGGCGGACGCCTAGCGCGACGGGCATGAGCGAGATAGCGCGCGTAGTTTTCAAACGTTCATATCCGCGCGTTTTGGTCACACTACAGGCCTAGTCAGCAAGCGATCCAATGCGCGGGTGCGGCGGTATCAAACCAGTTCGGTCTTATCGCTCGGCGTAAGCGCGTCTTCATTTTTTTTTTTTGGTAAAACATTTGTATCTTCTCTAGTGAATTTAGGAGATATTTTACTCAGGACGTAATCAAATGTTGATACGGACATTCGAGTATACTCAAAGAATTTTCTAGGGTACAAATGTCAATTCTTCTTACAAATTAAAAAAATTCACCATTTATTTGTCGGTTTTTATTTATTTCGTGCACACCCTCTATAATGTTCAAAATCTCTCATCTCAGGATCGGACTATCTAGTAGAAATAAAAATCCTCGTCCATGGTTTACAACACCTGTAATACATCTAAGCAGACCAACAGCTCGCTCGTAACTGTGGCCACGGCACGCGGCCGCCGTCGCGCCCGCAACAGGCTCAAGTCGCCGCGCATTCACTGTGGACGCACATTAAGATTTATCATAACCATTGATACCGCTTCCCGTCGCCGCGCCGGTCTGGTTTATGAACTTCTGTTATACGAAAAATAAGAAAGATTTTTATTTCTCCAAGATTCTATATTGTCGCCTTCACACGGCACTATATTTTTTATATTTTTCCCGTTGCTTTTAATTTCATTATCATAAAATATACTACATAACCTAAAATTATAAAAACAAATCGTAATGCAACATGCAGACTGATGCAGGTGATTCACAATCAGAAGTGTGTAGCGATCAGTGGAGAAAATTCAAGGCCCTTTTAAATATCCTCAAAATATTTACATGGTCAAAAACAATCATTAAACAAATTTTTCTAACGTGGAAATTTATAAGATCAGAACAGCTCAGTGTGCGCCTGACTATATTTTGTTGAAACTAAGCCTAACTAACTATGAAAGATAGTTTATTGGTACACCATCACTGATAGGAAAGTTAAGGATTTGGCTTTAGGAAATTAAAAGATTTTAATAATTGCATACTTGAGATGATTTTACAAATATTAATAGACAATAATTATTTTGTATTAATGTGTGTAAAACAAGTCGTCCATAGCGACACTTCAGAAAAAGGCGGTAAGTCTAGAAACAGACTAAAAAGGTTTTGGATATGTTTCGAAACAGACCGTAATAACTCTCTTTTTTATTCATAGTTACACCTTTTGTAGGTATAATAATAAAATTTGTTCATTGTTTATGTCAAATAATCTAAATAACCCACGAGACAATATTTAACATACAAAGAAATGGGTTTGATGTGCCCACTGCACACCTCCTCCTCCTTACTATGGGAGAGGTTCATATCCAGCAGTGGGATGACAAATTTAATGATGAGGCGTATGTCTTATCAAACAGCAACCTGGTGAAGGGACCTCCTCGCTGCTTTACCATAATTTGTGTGTATGCAAAGACTTCTATTTAAACTACCAGACGGGCTCTGCGGTGTACTAAATTACGGTCAATTGTCCATAACTCTCGTTCGATCGATCGAGCGCTATCGTTGACGAGAATACTACTTCTTTGTTTTGTAAACCGCGAACGTTCATTTCGACAATCCAACACCGATTTTGTTAAATATGACAAATAAAACACTGTCATTATTTATGTGCGCACATTGACAACGCGATTTGAAGTTTATTTCAGATAAGTATGTAAATTTATTTGGAATTTGCCTAAAACAGTAAATGTCGTAAATGAAAATATAACTGCTTGGCATATTTACCGTGGCTGATTTCCGTCCAGCAGCGTCCGCGCGATCCACAGCAATCCATAAGTTATATTATGTACCATGTACTAGAAGAGACTCCGAGACTTGGTTATTTGCAACACCGAATAGCCGAAACTTAGTCTGTGCCATAAAAAATTACTCTTTGCCTGCGGCCAAGCGCCCCGCACTTCCGTACAGATTTTGTCCGCGGTGTAAGTTCTAGACGTAGTACATATTACTTCAATGACTGTGACACAGTTTTTGTTCTGAATTGCCGGTCTAGTAGTATATATAGAAGTGTTTGTGTGTCTGTGTGTGTGCGTGTGTGTGTCCCGGTGTCGGCTGACCGTGCGTCTCCCCGCAGGTGTTCTTTGACCTGATGCGCGAGATCCGCTCCCGCAAGTCTGACGACAGCCGCACCGCCAACGGCAACGTGCGAGACAAAGTCAAGCGGAGAAAAATCAAGTGCGCCATTTTGTAGGCCCGCCTCCTCGTCTGCGCCTCCATTATCTGTATAAATTGTATTTACGATGGTCGCCCCCTTTGGTGCTGCTATTTTATTGAATACTGTTCCTAATGAATGAGGACATCAACGACTTTTTCTGCCACCAGTGCGGCGCCGCTTTGGTATGAGGTGAAATATTTGATTCATAGGGGAAATTAATTTGTTTGGAAAATATAACGGTTAATGTTTTTGTAATATTATAAATTTAATTGAAGAAATGAACAAACGCAAACTACAGATATTCTTCTCATTTAAATGACATTGTGTAACAAAAACTTCATCTCAGTGTCAACTAGCGACGTCTGGTGAGCGGAAGATTATTAGTCCTCATTATTGTAATGGTTCAGAACGTATGTGCCGGCCGGACTCATTGCGAACAGAATTCTATAAACATTTTTGTTATTACAGAGCATTGCGCTTGCGCGTTATTTTGTAATTATATTTCGTGTTTAAATAATTTTTGAACATTAATACAGCCAAACTACCGCTAAAAGAATGGCATGTCTCCACCGAATCATAGAAATGGAAATCTCAATAGTTACGTTTTGTATAAGATGTTTTTTTACTACGAAATGATTAAATTTGCGCGTTAAATAATACATGTGATTAGCGTCCGACCGAGGGACGATTTCTGGCCAAAGCCGGTTATCGCCACAACCTTCGGCTTAAAACAAAGCCGAATGCTTAAAGACTTAAGAAATTCAGTTTATAATTGACTAAAATTGATAATGTAAATTATTTTAAAACTTCAATTAAACGTTTATATTAACTGTATAATGTAAAAAAGGTAATTTTAATTGCGTCGCCACGTCCATCGCGCTTTCGCTCATTCGTAACAGTTCGCTCAATGCCAGCGCTTGCTAGAAATCTTCGGCTTCGGCTAAAACTTCGGCCCATTTTGGCCGAAGCCGAAGGTTTCTGGGAAGCGTTAAACTTCGGTCGGACTCTACATTTGATGGAAAATCTCGACGATTCTGTACGTTAAGTCCGCTCATAGTTTAGGTGTGTGTCATGCTCGTTGTCGGCATATGTCCGCATGTGCACGTCAGGATGTAACTTGTTGTATTTATTGATTAGCTTTTAAGCGCTATATGTGTCGTGGATTGTGTTGTGCGGTTATAGAAATATTGTATTAAATATTATTCTACCCACATGCAGACGAAATTGCGGTAGCAAAAGGTAATAATGTACCATTTTACTTTGACTAAAATCATATTTTGATGAAAGTTAGACAAGTAAATCTGTTTTATATATTTGATATATTAAATTTGGTTTATTTTTAATGCCTTTGTAATGAAATGTTTCTATAGAAATGCATGGAGTGTTTGGAATTGTCATGGAATGTGTTTGTTTGCATCTTGGGACCGATTCACAGAGCCAGCACTAATAACATTCCATATTATGTGTAATAAATTGTATCGCTGTCTTTTTTAATTGAAAAGGCACATATAATGAATTAAATATATTTTATCAATAAGTAAATAAAATTTTTCGCGTTTACTCGCTTTTAAATTTGTTTTAAAAAACTGTTAAACCTATAAATTCTACTCAGATGTAACCTTAATGGTTTCCAAAATGTATGAAATGTTGTCATTAATTTTTACTAAGCTACGGTGTTTGTGAACGGTCCTGCGATGATTTGCTTCAAAGACTTACTGTAGGTTACAAAGTATTTATAGCTGTGTCCACCTGTGTCGATAGATCTGTGTAAGCTATCGCTGTGCGATGTGCTCCACTTGTATTCACTGGGAATTAAGCACCTAAGATTAGTTACCCTCTCAAATATGTGAGGTTTATGTCCAGCTGTGGGATTTAAGCTGCCACTTAGACACCTACATAAGCTAATTCCAACTTATAGAAATACGCGTCAATAGTCCGCACCAAACACGGCTTGGTAGATGCTAATTAAGAAAGTGAAGCGTCAGTAGCCTAATGGCAGGGCGCGGACCGCGAACTCCAAAGGTCGTGGGTTCGAATCCACCATTCGACTACTGTCGTGAACCACTTCTAACACAAGCATTTTAAGCTTACCAGAAGTGGTGAAAGGGAATATTAGTAAGGTTTAATATCATTACTAGCATTTAAAGAAAAAAGTTGTTCGAGTTTACGCTTCGCTTCTATCAAACCGTAGCACTCCATTGCTGGGCATAGACCTCTCCTATATTGGGAAGATTTGCCGTAATCGTCAACCTTTGACGATGATCCCCATCAAGTTTCAGTTGATTATATTAGAAAACCTAACTAAAATTCACATTTCTTTGTATTGTTTTGTATGATGTATTCGTGTCTGTTCTTGACTTCTAATTACTGTCAGAAGATATTAACTAGGGAGGAGATATTATAGTGCCTCGTATCGTACGCAAACAGGCTTTGATTCGCATTTCCGAGCCGAATGTAAGGTCTATGCGATAAAACTTAAGCTGGGCATAGAAGAAATGTTAGAAATAAGACCTTATGTCACAAAGCATAGAGTCGATAATCATTAATTAGCAATATTGACTCCGATTGCTACCCGGACCCGTAAAACGATAACTCTGCTGGATCACAGCCTAGCTATCGCTAACGACGTAATATGATCTTTGTGTTAGCTAACAAGGTTATAATACCACGTCCTATGCATAGAGATGCTAGCCGTACAACAATACCTTATGATTCCAATAAATAAAAAAAAAATATTTAAATGTTTATTGCGGATATATATATTCGCAATAAACATTTAGTTATAGATCTGTAACCATGGCCGTAGTCAATTTTTTTTTCTGGGTTAGGCTCATGGGACTTCACAGACCCTTCTTTTTTGCAGCATTGTAAGACAGTGACGAGTTTTTTCTTTGTAGAATTCTAGACACCAAGTTTATAGGGAGTGATGCCCCCCGTGTTCATTCAAAGCTACGCCCATGCTTATATATTATGAGATCCGTTTCTGGTTGATCCTTAAAATATTTTGATAGTTGAGTAGTAATAGAATTCAGTTTTAAATAAACAATGTGTGCCAATATGGTGTATCTTTATGAATAGGACACTATGTTATGTATTTTCTTGTCACAATATATCTTATGTAGCACTATTGCTATCGCAATGTTATTATTGCTTTTTGTTAAAGTTCAAATTATATTGTGTTTAAAATTTTCCTCTAACTTGCATGCGAGTTGTTTATTAAGCTTGTTCACTTTACACACGCAGTGTAAAGTGCGTTATGTCTTAAAAATGATTATTTAAAATACATAACTTTATTCTATTCCTACGTAAGTTTAGAAATTTGCTAGCCATTGTATATTAAATGTAAATTTGTATGGCTTTTGTCTATTAATATTTAATAAAGACGCACGCTGTACTCACCAACGAATTGTAAGATGAACATGTATTTACAAATGTTTGTAATTATTGTTCAAAATAATTGAAGTTATATAAATATATATTAAACAGATAAATATTTATTGAATATTCTTTTTTTAACATAACCATTTAAATGTTACAGCAGTCACTTTAAATGTACTATTTAAAGAATTAATTCAAAAATAATAGTTCACACACTGCATTTGCAAGATCTAATAAATATATCGAATATTCAAGCAGTTTTGCCTACAGCTTACAACATATGTGTAATATGGCAACTGTCACTATAACATCCTTGGGCCCTGGTTCATGTTTCCTTCATTAGAGATTAAAGTGTATTTTGTAATTTTGAATGTATGTAAGACATAATAAAATAAAGACTGCCAGAATTAGGCTTCTTATATGCTGCCCACACTACTGTGTACGCGGTTGTATCACGGCTGGTTTGAAGATAACTGATAAAGTAGTTGGCAGAATTACTATTTAGAACTAATTGATACATTTTTTTATAGAAAATGGGCAAGTGTTGTAATCATAGTGGTTTCTATTGTATACGGTCTTTACCAGATATTTTCAAACTACCCACATATTCTGTAAGTTAGCTTAGTGCTTAGACATATGGTTAATTATATGTATGTGCGCTGCGTATATCAGACCGCACCCGAATAAATTTACTACTATGGTACTAAAGAGAAGCAGGAAATATACAGATTTACAAAACTTTGTGTATTATTTGTTTAGAAAGTTAAAAAAATTCAGTGTTTCAAAAGTTCATTTAAAACCTAGAAAATTTTTAAAGATACTACATGAAATAACTTTGTACTTTTATTTAATAATTGAGTATGCATGGTAAAACTCAAAACATAATTGCCTTGCCATTAAATCGAAGGAATATGTAACTTGTAGTTTTGTTTTTACAGTGCAATATGTGTACTCCGTTTTTTAATTCCATAGACTAGAAAGAAATTTCACCTTCTGTTATCATCATAATTAATTGTAACACCATATTATATATTTTAAATGTAATCTCTGTAAAACCGACGGAAAGAAAAAAAATTAGGTAAATAAAATTGGGGGACAAAGTAATGTTTTTTTTTAAATAGTTTTTTTTTTAACTTCTAACCAGAAACAGAAACAGAACCTTTTTTATTCAATATAGATTATAAATAATACTTATTGAAAGTTACTCTTTTGTTTGATTACCACTGGTTCGGAAAAAACCTCTGTCCTGGGAAGAACCAGCAAGAAACCCAGCGGGACTTTTTTTTTAAATAACAGCTTACAATCATGTTACACAAATTAACAACACTACAAATTAGAAATAGCTTGGTAGCGATCACCTCATTTCCAGGGGTTATATATATATATATATATATATATATATATATATATATATATATATATATATATACCTTTGTTTAACATGTGGATTTAATTATTATGGTCAAATATAAGTATGTCGAGTGATAAAAATTCTGCATTTTGCAATAAATGTAATAAATTGATAATTTTTTTGTAACAAAAACCTATTTATAATTTTCCGATTCAAGTAACCGAAACCATTAGGACCATTTGACAATTGAGTTTTCGGAATTAAAAAACGAAGTACAAATTATATTTTTGTCAGTACCTTGGAACTT